GTGTCAGGGCCTCAATGATGATTACACTTAAAATAGTAACATCTTTCCATTTTGTGACTGATCATCCTGGCGTTGGAACAGCTTTATGCCTTGAACGTCTTGTCCCGTTGCTGATATTTCTCTGTTTTTTCCATTTAGTCTGACTACATAACGTGCAGCATTTGTCTTTCCCGCACGCAGGAGCCCCCACGCCTCGTGTCTGCAAAGCCACGCCAGCCGAAAGCAGCCATCCTCGCTCACCGCGTTTGTCCTGCTGTCGGCTCTTGGGTTTGCTCACACGCCAGACAGGGAGTTATGAGTGTGGCCCAGGTGAAATGATGGGGGGGCAGATGTGTACGAGTGTTCACGCATGTGCACACATGTTCTCTGTGTGTTGCCAGTGGGAAGATTAAGTTCTGAGGTCAACTGGATCTCACGTTTGTTTATCTGATGCTTATCCCAAATCCTCCAGCCGTGTGTACTTACACGGCTCCATTACAGTGATAGCTGAGCAGCTCCCAGTCTTTGCTGTCTTTATCCCCTGGGAGGTGGGGAAGTGCTGGTATTTCCATGGTGCCGACAGGGAACTTAACCATGCCGGAGAGGCTACGGGCATGTCTGCTCTGTCTGAGGGCAGTGATCAGAAGTGCTACCCCCCAAAATGGGTGTGCTGTAGCCATCTTAGGGCTGGGACAGGTCCATGTCAGTCATCTCGCTCACTTGGACACACGTGGCATGCACCCGCCCCTCACGAAGCAAGCCCTGTGGCATCTCTTTCAGGGGAAGCATGTGCAGAGTGGGCAGGCCTGTGGCACTCCCGCACGCTGTCCTTGAGTGGTATGGACATGCCAAGTGACTTGCCCACGGTCGCAGGGGGAGTGGGGCAGCACAGGGAAGTGAATGCCCATCTCCTTAGTCCAGGGCTGGTGGCCAAACCACCAGACAAAGTTTCTTCACCCACTAACAAAGGAAGGAGCCACCTCACTTACCTCTGGACAGCCCTGGGCAGTGGTTGCTTCCCCTCTCTTGTGTACCAAGGCAAGCTGCTTTGCAGCAACAAGGCAAGTGATGCACAGGGGGTTGCAGGCACCGTGAGCATCCTGCCTGCGCTGTTTGGGTGCCCTTCTCAGGTCAGGCAGAGGAAACGACTGTTTCTGCTAGTTGAGCAATGCAAAGCCTCCCTTTGCTGCAGTGTGGGCTAACCGAGCATGGGAGCTGCCCTCCAGCTTTAACCCAGTGCATGGGAGACGCCACGTGGGAGTTAAGGACTGAAGCTTCACGTGACAGTCTAGCTTGAATAAGGCATGTGAGGCAAGCCAGAGGCTGCTTTGATTCCTGTTAGCCAGTGCTGCTGCTGCCTGGATGTGTAGCTCAGATGCAAGGATGTAGCTGAAAGAAAAGGGTCCCAGACTGCAGTGCCTCCTTGATTTCCTGATCAGAAGGCACTAGGCAGAGCCTCAGTCTTCACTGTGGCTCACACACACACACAGGAGGGGAACATGTGGGTGTGCAGAGATTAGAGAGAGCTCAAATGCCAGTGGCTTTTCCTCTGGATGAGGCCACAGGGATCGCTCAGCCTTTTCTACACTTGGGAATAGTCCTGCTTCATCTCTCCAGTGCTGCACTGCTATGTGAAGAAGGGGGCGTGCTAGTGTTTGTACCAGTTGAGCTAAACTGGGTTGGGTTTAATCCTGCTAAGCACAAGTGGGACCAGCTTGTCTCTCCTTGGGGACCAAGGAGAGTTGCTGTCTAAGTGGGAGCAGAGATTGAGTTGACTTCAGATCTCTGGTCTCAGCGCAGCAAGGCAGGGCCCACAGCAGTGGAAGCCATCCATGTTCCCCTACAGAAGTGACCAGAAGAGCTCCCACGGAGGCCGGCGCTCTTGCTGATGGCCTGTAGAGACTCCAGGAGAACGTGTTGGCCTAACTGACCCGCGGCATCAGCATCTGTGGCGGTGACCCCAGCTGGAATGAAACCCAGGGCTGCCCCCTCTCCGGCACACACTGAGCATCAGCTCACACTGCTCAGAGCACCTGGTCCATTTTCCCCTGCTTTTGCAGCTTCTTGCTTTCCCCGAGCATCCCTGTTAGCTCAGGGTGAGACCCTCAGCTGCTTTTCCATTGAATTAGGTGGGTGCGGATTAGGCTGCAAGAAGTTTGGGACTCAGCCAGTTTCCCTTTCCAGCTTCCAGTACCCCCGTCTCCAGAATCTCGGCACATTGCAAGCAAGAGGATTCCCAGAGCCATCTCGAATTGGTGCCCGTAACTTGGCTTTCAACTTCTGAGAAAGCTTTTCCAGAAACTGTTTCCCTCCTGTTGGAGGCCGGGCAGCCAGCCCACCAGAAAGGGGAACTTCGCTGACCCAGTCTGTGCCGGAGCGGGGCATTTCACGGAAACAGAGTCGAACTGTTTCTCCAGTGGACAGGCTCCATTTGCCTTCCTGTTTTAGCCCTCCCGGGGCCGCGTCTCAGGCTGTTTGCTTTCCCTCCGGACTCGCTTTTATCCTCGCTGTCTACAGAAATGTACAGCTGAAAACATCCATTTCCTGCAGCTTCCAATTCCCGCCAGTCGATAAGAGACAAGGGTTCAGCCCAGCTTCAGCTCTGGGCCTGAAGCAGGCCTGGAGTCACCAAACAGCTAAGAATAGCCTGGTAGTGCCGGGTGAAAAGTCTGCATGGGTTTGTGTTGGGTTTTTTTTCCAATGTGCTGATTGAATAAGGATGAGGCAAGTTTGCAGCTCTGGCCACAGTTGTGTGTGGGTTGCGTTTTTCCCCTTTTCCTTTCTTTCCCTCCGCCCCATCCTACCATACAACATCTGAAACAGAGAGATAAGAGCAGCCTGGCCGGGGCTCCGGCTGCATTCGCTCACCCCAGACCGCGCTCCCTTGGTGCTCTGGTTTTATCTGGATTCTTCACCCCTGTTCGGCAACGAAACTTAAATTACCATGAGGCGGAAGAGGGCAGTGCAGCTGGATGGCAAGTGGAAGGTACGAGGGCAAGGCTGAGCAGCGCAGACCGAAGCCAGGAGCTGCTGGGTCTGCTAGTGCATGGCACAATCCCGGGAGGGACGGCGTGCCCGACACTCATGGGGACACCGAAGGTTTGTGAAGGGGGTGGGAGGGGAATCAGTGTGTGGTTAAGGCACCACTGGGACTTCAGTGTCCTGCCTTCCACATCCAGAATATGTCCTGGGCAGATCACATCGTCTCCGTCTACGCTGCAGTTCCCACTGGATGAAACAAGGGAACCATCTGCCCGTCTTGGACCTTTAGGTATTTGGGGTCAGGGTCAGTGTTTGCCCAGCACCGAGCGCTGTGTGGCGCACAGTCTTGTCTGGGGGATGCTGATGTGACACAATATAAACGGCGACAATGTTATGGGACTGGTCTGTTCACCGAGAGCAAAGCAGAGCAGGCTGGATGTGGGAAAGGAAAGCATAGTATGTAACCCTGGCAGTACGGACGTCAAATTCTTGCTGGCATCAGTGGGGCTAGCCTTGCACCCAGAAATGGTGTAAAGGAGTCGAGCTCTTTCCCCAGTGCACTGCATGGCTTCTGGGGTGGGAGGGCAGGGGTTCACCTTCTTCCGATAGACCGGGACACTTCAGCATAGAGCCAGACCAATTGCCAAATTTGGGGTCAGGGAGGAATTTGTCAGGCTGGGACAGGCTGTGGTGTTCTTGCCTTTCTTTGTAATGTGGGGTGCGGTCCTCTGCCTTGGACCCATTGGACATGAACCAGCTCCTTCCTTGTCCCTGCAGTGCCAGGGCATTGGCAGTGCCCTCCCCTCCCCTCCCCTGCCTTTACTGATGGCATGGTCTCGGGGTGTCTGGCTCGAGTTGTGTGCAAGGGTCCGCAGTGGCGAGCTGGGCGATTCCTTGCCGTGTCTCAGTTTTTCCCTCGGGAAACAAACATGTTCGCCTGCCTCCCAAGAGGGCTGAGCGTGTTTGCAAAGGGACCTGGTGTCCTCAGGTGAAAGACTGTCATGTAGAAAGATCTTAATTTGATGGGGAAGGGGCTTAGTACGTCTTCCACCTCCTGCCACCCTCCTGTTGGAGGGAACTCTCCGGGCTCCACCTTGGCATCTCCTTCCTGGTATAACCTTGCCTTCTTGTCTGTGCTCTAGACAGCCAAGATTTTGCCCCCAGGCCAAAATACAGCCTGGTCCCTTCATCTTTGCCCTCCCCAGTTACAGTGCCAGATCTGAGCCTGGGTTTCGGTTTCAGCTTCTTAGTCTGACGACTCAAGCACCATGATTCAGTGGCTGTGGCAAAGGACCACAAGCCGGGACCTTCCCGCTCTGTTCCTGCATCTTGCCACTGACTGATTGAGTGGCTTTGAGCAATATCACTTCCCCTTTATGAGCATCTCTTTCCCCCTATTTTATAAAATTATTCATATTATTATTTTAATATGATTTAAAATATTATTTACCCCCATTGCAGCCTTAAAGGAAGAGGCCACACAGCAGCAGCTCCTCTGTAGTGAACTGAGAGGGGTCCCGAGTGTAAGGTAGGACTGAGACATCCTCTGAAGGTTATACCTTTTTTCAGTTATATTTCCTTCCATGTGTAAGTCTACCAAAGTCCTGGAACAGCCATACACTCCTCCCCACCTCACCTAGCACTCGAGGACGGACGCAATATCCGTATCAAGTCCCCCTGTGCGGATAATCTCAAAGCAGAAATTGACCCCAAGAATGGCAGCTCAGCCCAAAGAGGAGCCCCTAGTGTAATGGTGTTATTGCTGTGTCTTCTTACTGCCTTGTTCCTAGGATGCCAGGAGCAATTTTATTGATGGGAAACATTATCCAACCACCCCAGAAAGCAATGGCTTCTAGCTATCACTCTATCTTCCTATCACACCAGACCATCTTTCTTCTGTCTCTCTCTCTTCTCCTTCTCAGTCTATTCTGTCTATGCATTTTTCATCACGGTGGTATCTGAGCTTCCTCCTGCCCCACAGGTGCACTGTTTTTAGATCCCTCTTGCTCAGATTTCTCCTTCTGTTTCTCTGCCTCCAGCTGGACAAAGGGGATGTGAGCACGCTCAGCCTGCCTTCCAACGTGAGTCACGGAGATGCCGACGGCAACATCTGCTTGGACGTCCCGGATGGCACCCCGGATCCGCACAGGACGAAGGCAGCCATCGAGCACTTGCACCAGAAGATCCTCAAGATCACAGAGCAGATCAAGATCGAGCAGGAGGCGCGAGACGACAACGTGGCTGAGTACCTGAAGCTGGCCAACAATGCCGACAAGCAGCAGGCCTCCCGCATCAAGCAGGTCTTTGAGAAGAAGAACCAGAAGTCCGCCCAGACCATCGCCCAGCTGCACAAGAAGCTCGAGCACTACCACAAGAAGCTAAAAGAGATCGAGCAGAACGGGCCCTCGCGGCAGCCCAAGGATGTCTTCCGGGACATGCACCAGGGCCTAAAGGACGTAGGAGCCAACGTCCGGTCCAGCATCAGCGGCTTTGGGGGTGGGGTGGTGGAAGGCGTCAAGGGCGGTCTCTCCGGTTTGTCCCAGGCCACCCACACAGCCGTGGTCTCCAAGCCCCGGGAGTTCGCCAGCCTGATCCGGAACAAGTTCGGCAGCGCGGACAACATTGCCCACCTGAAGGACACGCTGGACGACGGGCACCCCGAGGAGGCCTCGAGGACCCTGAGTGGCAGTGCCACCCTGGTGTCCAGCCCGAAGTACGGCAGTGACGACGAGTGCTCCAGTGCCACCTCGGGGTCGGCGGGGGGCAGCAACTCGGGGGCCGGACCTGGTGGACTGGGGAGCCCCAAGTCCAACACCCTTGACAGCCACCACAACAACTTTGACACCATCCTGGAGGAGCTCCGGGAAATAAAGGACAGTCAATCGCACCTGGAGGACTCAATGGAGGACCTCAAGGCACAGCTGCAGAGGGACTACACCTACATGACGCAGTGCTTGCAAGAGGAGCGGTACAGGTAGGGCCCTGCCGAGCGCGGCCATGTGTGAGCAGGACTCTTCCCACGGGGAAGGCCATCGTGTTTCATAGCGATGGGTCTTCATCTCTGCCTGCCCTTCAGATCAGTCCCGAACCATTCTCTGTGTTAAAACCAATCCCTTCCTGTCCCATTCCCAGTTTCAAACCTGTGCTATCAGCTGCAGTGCCCAGGATCAATCCTACAAAATTAAATCACGGCGGGCCGCTCTAGTGTATCTGAGCAGCCCAGCAATAGCAAACACAGCCTGGCCCCATAATAACACCCCTGTGACATGAAACACTTGTGTACAGACACAGCCATAGTCCAGAGAGATATACACACAGTGCTTGGAGACATTGGTAAAGGATTCAGTTCCAATGTGAAGCTTCCTTGTGTGGAAAACAAATGACTTGAAGCAAGGATGCCAGCCCCCTTGGCTGTGTCCTTTGAAGTAACAAAGAATGGGTGTTATGGACTATGATTGGCTTTGCGGGAGGAGGTAAATTAAAATATATTCTCTTACTGAGCAGAGCTTCAACCCAGATCCCACCGTCCTCTGTGGCTACAAATGCTCAGGAGGGTCTGGAGGATCCTGAGAGCATTTAACAGCTGTTTTAAAGGTCACAGATCAAAAAAGGAGCTAAGAAGCCCCTAGCTTAGATGATGAGGTTATGGACCCAAACCAGGCTCAAATGGGCAAGCATGGGGTGAAAGGCTTTGTATGTAATCTGGAGCCTTCCACCCCTCCTGGTAAACCAGAGGGGAAAAGAGGCCAGATCCTGGCAGCCTGGTCCTGTTACAGAACAAATTAGGAATGGTTATGCTGAGCCCAGCGTGCTCGGAGTGGCCTGCGGGCTTAAGAGCCCCCATCTCCCACTGTTCATGCAGCTGAAAGACCTCCCAGCAGCCCTTGGCCCTGCAAATCCTGTGTCATCTCTCCCAGCCACAAATCACCCTCAGAAGAAAGGTGACCGGCTGTTTATAAGGGGTGAAAGGAAATGCATCACCTTGCTAATCTAGGCAGTGCCCGCCTCATCACACTTCCCCAGCTGAGAGCAAACAAGGCCCAGCTTCCAAAGACCGCACTGCCTGCGGGTTTCTCTGCTCAGCGCTTTGGCGCAGGACTGGCTGTTTCCAGGTACTCCTCAGGTCGGGAGCTTGTGAGCGCGTGTGCATCACAGACATACGTGCTTGCAAGTTTATTTGAATTCCTTTTGTTCTTCAGCCCACCGCTTTGAAGTGTCTTCCAGACCCTTTTTGGTAGCTGGAAAATGTCCTAAAATATCCCGGAATCCACTGCCAGTGACAGAGGAGATGGAAATAAACTACCAGGCTTCCAGATCTGAATAGCCAAGGAAAAATCTCTCTGCACATACATGTGTCAGCGCTCCATGGGGGCTGTTAGGGAGGAGTTGCAAAGCCTTTCCTGTCTAGTTCCTATGTTTGAATCCAGCGCAGGGTTAGCAGAAGAGCTGTTATCTTCTGAAGGCTCTCCAATAGCCTGAGTGAGGCAAGGTGGAGTCCTGCTAACTTTTTATCTCTTTCTGAACTGCTGGTCTGGACAGCACTGCAGTCTGTCCTACTGGGTCCAGAACCTGCCATGTGGACTGCTTCAGATATTTGACACAAAAGTAATTGCTATACCATCCACCACATCCCAAATCTCTGGGAAACCAGTGAGGTTTGGGGCAAGATGAGCTGGAGCTCTGAGACCCTGGACTTCAAGGAATAGGCCCTTCTTCTGCCAGGGAGAAGGCCAGAACAGAAGAGCCAAAGATGCTGGAATGGTTTTCAAGTGCTCTTACCTTCCAAGTGCACCCTCTCTTTCTCTCTCTCCACCACAGGTACGAGCGCCTGGAGGAGCAGCTGAACGACCTGACAGAGCTCCACCAGAACGAGATGACCAACCTGAAGCAGGAGCTGGCCAGTATGGAGGAGAAAGTGGCTTATCAATCCTATGAAAGGGCCCGGGACATCCAGGTATGAGTATGCAGAGGGCTTTTGTGCCATCTGGGCTCAGCTGAATGAATGCCTCCTCTGCAGATGGGGTAGAGAAGGCATGGGGGGGCAGCTTTTTGTAGCAGGGGTGAGGGAACCACCAGCAGCACGTGGAGCTCGTGTCCGAAGGGTGAAAAGATCCTGGTTCTGAGCACTCATCACCCACCAGAGGAGACGCATGCAGGGATGCACTTTCCATAGGCAGAGAGCCCAGAGGAGGCAAAAAGAGGACAGACAAGCCATGGCTCTAACATATTCCCAATACAACCAGGGGCTGCAGGGCCTGATGATAGGCTCCTGAGCCTTTGGTGCCCACCCCCTGCCCCAGCCTGATGGCTGTTTGATGGGCCCATGTGTAACAAGTGCCTGGAGTGCACCCAGTTCTCAGTGAACTAAATGCACTTGAAACAAGAGGAAAGCAGAGAGTACAGCGTGTTGCTGAAAGCGATACGAAGGGCAACATGACTCACATAGCGGCTGTGAAGACCAGCAGGGTGAGGAGAGCAAAGGAGCTCCCGGCAGAGGATGGATGGGAGCAAATGCCCGATCCTGGCTTCGGTCTGAGTTTCAGACGTGCGGTGCCCCAGTAATTTTCCGGGGCAGCTCTATAAGGGCCATGTCCACATCTTACAGGCAGCACCAGGGAGGCCCTGGGGAGCTGTGGAGCTGCTGGTTTGTCTGCATGGACTTTATGAGGCACCGATCACCGTGGCGTCTGCTCAGAAGTGCTCTGTTTGGGCTGCCCCATGGCTCTGCACTTCCCAGTGATACAGGGCTGTTTATCCCAGACCTGTTCAGCAACCCGTCTGCTGGGCAATGTCCTGCCCCTGCGAGCATATCTGGGGAACTTCCCAGTGGGATTGTCTGTAGCTGATGCTCCGGTTTTATTCAGCCTTTTTAGAAAGTACCAGGTGGTTAATGGAACGTATTCAAAACCAAGCAGGCCAAATACTAGCTGTAAAAGAGCCCCACCCTCGTGTGGCCGTGTGTGAGCAGATACAGACCCATCCTTGCTTTCCCCGTTATATTCTCCCTCTTGCTGTAGAACCTCCATCTCACACTCAGAATTACCAGCTTGCTAAGGCTCATCAGAAGATCTCAAAGCATTTTGCAAATATTAAGACCCCACGTGAGGTAGGTGACTATCCCTGGCATTTCACAGGTGGGCATAGGGAGGCATTTTGCATTTTAACCCATGGTGCTTTAACGTGCACTCCTTTCAGAGTCAGGAACAGAACCCAGGCATCCTGGCTCCCCCTCCCCTGCTCTGACTTCCCAGGAGGCCGGGTTTAACCCCTTGGGATAGTAATGTGGCTGTTCCATTTCATACTGCACACAAAGGAGCTCACTGACTTCCCCTTCCCCACCACCACCGTGCAGCCAAACTAACCCTGGTCCGTGCCTCTTCCCACCCCTAGGAAGCGGTGGAGTCCTGCCTCACCCGTGTCACTAAGCTGGAGCTCCAGCAGCAGCAGCAGCAGGTGGTGCAGCTGGAAGGGGTGGAGAACGCCAATGCCCGGGCCCTCCTGGGCAAGTTCATCAACGTCATCCTGGCCCTCATGGCCGTGCTGCTCGTCTTCGTCTCCACCATCGCCAACTTCATCACGCCCCTCATGAAGACCCGCATGCGCATCCTCAGCACGGCCCTGCTGGTCCTCTTCCTCTTCTTCCTCTGGAAGCACTGGGACTCCATCACCTACTTCCTGGAGCACGTGTTGCTCCCCAGCTGATTCCCCAGGCCGCTGCCGGTGCCCTTGGGGCACTCCGGTTCTTACTGAGAAGGTGGGGGCAGGAGCAGAAACCTGGAGCCTTCCATTTAATTCCTTCATGTGTTTGGTTCAGCTGTTTTCTCAACCCCCAGCACCCATCTGTTCACTTCCAGCCTCCTCAGTGTCACCAGGAGCATGGGAAGTTAGAGCCAGGATTGCTCACTCCTTCTGGATGTCCTGGGAGGGAAGACGGGCAAAAGCATAAGAGTTTGGAAGAAGCCTTTAACTTACATGTTCTTGAGTTTGTTTGAGGGTTTTTTTTAAATTAGTATTATTTAAAGTAATTCTGTTATTCTAAAAGTCTGCAGGAATGAGGTTTTCTTTATGCCCCGAAGGCAGATGGTTCTGTATCCACTGGGGTTTGCAATCAAACCCAGCTTCTGGGGAACTTTGAGAGAGAGAGAGAGAGAGAGAGAGAGGTTTGTTTGGTTTTTTCCTTAAAGACAGGGACAGCAAAAAATTATTCCTGGGATGCAATAATAAAAGAGAAAACAACCACCAGAGAAAGGAAGAACCAGAGCTCAAGTGAATGCCGTGGCTGTTTCTGCTCCCTGGAGAGCTGGCCACCGGGACAGAGCAGAATGTATGCATCACACCAGCTTATCCAAACCACACGTACATTTACTCCTATGGTTATTGAACAGCTGACAGGCCGAGTGCAGAATTGGGCAGGGGGTATTTATTGGCACAAGGCTGTGTTAGCTGGCCATTGGCTTGTGCCCAGTGGGCACAGGATACCCGGTGCGGTTCCGGTCAGAAAGTGAGAACAGTTGTGGCACAAGTGAAACCCACTTGGCTGGCTTTCGTTTTCTTCTTCTACGGCTTTCATTCGATTCGATCTCTTCAGGGACACACGGACTTTCTGACACTGCGCCTGCGGACTTTACAATCTACGCAAAGTATTGTGTGTGTGTGCGTGTGCGTGTGTGTGTTTTTTTTTAAGTTATTTATTTCGAGATTCTGTTTCCATTTGTGAATCAGGCGTTGGAGGAAAACACAGCTGCCTTCACAGCCTCCATAGCTCTCAAAAAGACAGAGCATGTTGTCTCCAAAGTTTCTTAAATGGGTTCACATATATATATATATATGGGTGTGTGCGTATCTATATCTATATTTATCTATATCTATATATATCTATACATATATAGATATATATATGTAATTTATATAGATATAGCTCTAGATATCTATATATATAAATATATTTAATTTATATAAATGACCAGATCCTCTTCTAGTGCAAAGGGGGACGGCTCCATTGACTTCCATGGAGTGGTATCCGTTTCTACCAGCAGACACTTTGGCCCTTTCTATTTTTGAAACATGAACCTTTTGGCAATCCTGGTGGCACATGGTAAAGGTCCAGGGATGTGTTACAAGACCTTGAATGTAGTCCTGGGCCCTGGGAAGGAAGCAGTCTCCTGAGACAAGGAGTCAGTCAGCCCCATCCGGGAAAGGGGATGTGCTTGTGCTGTCCTTCCTTTAGCTTCAACACCTGGTAGTTCACAAGGGCTAATCAATCCTGTCTTCTGGATTTGCAACTGAACACTGGGGCTGTGCTGTGTACTCACCCCCAACATATGCCATTAGCTTCAGGCATGACTCCACATCCTCATATTGCAGCACTTTGCAAGCTACTGCTCCCACCGGCAAAGATACAGGGATCCCACGTGGAGGATGCCGATAGCTATTCAAGGCACGGTGCAAGGCACAGGCAGGAATCGTGGCTGGTCAAGGACATACCTGCATGTTCCATCTGTGAGTTTTGCACGCGTATTCACCTGGCACTTGTACCTGAAGGGGGCCGTGGTGAAGAATAGCCTGGATGGAGTGCAGAATAGGTGGGAAACCCAGAGGGAGGGTTGCATAGTTGCCTTGCACTGAGCGGGGTGCTCTCACGGGGTGCAGTGGCTGACCAGGCCCCAGGGTCTCCTTAGCAGACATCACACTCCCCTCTGGACATGGTCACACCTCCTTTCACCTCTTCCTGTGCCAAGGATCAAGGACAAACTCAAACACGGGCCCCCATGCTTGGCATTTCAGCCGCTCATATCAGTACCTCCAGCTAAGCGCCAGAATCCTAAAATATCCATTCGACTTGGGCTCCCGTGGTTGAGAACAACCTGGAGCATTTGGGTCCCTGTGGGATTTGCATCTCAGTTGCACCACAGTGTGTTTGGGCTTTAATGTCTGATGGTGAGACCTGGTCTTCAAAACTATCTGCCAAGAGGCCTGTCTTGGGAAAGCTGTCCTGTGTTATGCCAGCTGCCCTCTGAGCCTTCATGGAGACTGTGCAGGGGGGTGTGAAGAACCCAACTCCCCTTTTGTACATCTATTTATTTTGTATTTTTGTAAGCATTTCGCTGGAATGAACATTCCCGTTCTCATTGGGATCTTGAAGGAAACTAGGCTTCTGGGGGGATAGCAGGCTAACTGATTTCACGTTACCGTTTTTTTGCAGTCTAAGACCTGAGTGGCAGAAATCTGAGTACAACACTAGTCATTCCAAATTTTCATTTCAGGGAAACGTCCCTACCAGGGACACATTAGTGCATGCTCTGCTGTAGGCCTGCGCTAAAGTCACTTTGAAGTCCATCGGGTCTGAGGACATGCTTCAAGCTAAGCCTGTGGTGGTGTCCTAAATAGGGGTGGGCATCTATGCCTTCGTGCATTATGGCCTGATTCTCTTTCCACCCACTTAATTGGAGCTTCTCTTGTTTTGTGCCAGTGGCGAGCAGAGCGTGTGACCTGCTGCGTGTGGTGAGCAAGGTTTCCCCCTATCAAATCTCCCATGGAAGAAGCAGAAAGGATCAGCTCCTTTCTGCTCCTCCGTGTTGACTGATCTGTGACCTGCTCCATATGCAAGTCTCATTAATGCGGCAGGGAAGGACTTCCTTTGCTCCTTGATCCTTCATTTGTACTGGTGTCAATCAGGAGTAGCCCCCTGGGAGTCCCTGGGATCGCACAGCACCTTGTTGCTGGGAGATGCTCTTCGCGGTCCCTGCCAGGATGGGGGCCCCACTGCTCTGGGTGTTGTGTGGGGAGGAGGCAGGCCCTGCCCTGGAGATGTTAAGCGTCGACAGATAGGAAAGGCAAAAAAATAAGTGGTAGAAGAAGCAGAGGTCAGAGAGGAGAGTGACCTGGCTCGGTCACCAGGAGGTTAGTTGCAAAGCAGGGGGTTCAAGCCAGCCTGTGGCTGCCCTCTGGTCCATGCTGCCCCACGAGCAGCACTCGTTACAGGTACAACCAAAAGTAAGGCAGGACAGCAGTAACAAGGAGGGAGCATTGCTTGTACAGACCCAAGGGCTAGCTCCTGAGCCAGTGCTGCGCTACATTGCAGATGCCAAGGTCCCCGGGAGCAAGGAGGAAAAGAGAGGCTTTGTCCCCTCCATTAAACTTTCTCCTCCTGCCATCAACAGCTCCCTCTATTTCCCTGCTATCTCAGGCCCTGTGTCTTGCTCTGACCCAATATTATTGCAGCCAGCATGCTGAGGAAACACAGGGCAGTCCCCTGTACTATGAGCCACCCTCTTGCTGCCTAATAGGTGGGAATCTCCTAGGACATTTATGTCCATCCAGTTTTCTGTCTTGACTGTCCTTCAGCTTGCCCCTGTCAGTCAGGTTAGAGGTTTCAAGGACAGTGCAGTCACCTGGAGCCAGGGGTTTATGGCCCATCCAGGTGACTGGCTGCTACTAAGCAGTCCTCCCTGCCAACCAAAGGAGGACTCCATGCCAAAGTCCGAAGCTGCCCTCCTAACCCACTTTGCCAGGAGGAGCAAAGCCCACTGTGTTCACAGCATGGCTTCTGCAGGACCTTAACTCGCAACCCCAGGTCAGCCTTAGCAGAAACAGGATCAGGGGAGCTTTCCTCGCATGCATTTTAATAGCTGGTTGCTTCACCAGACAGATCTGGTTTCAGTCATGCTGAGCACAGGTTAGATTGCTGGCGGGGGTGCCTCCAATGTGGCATCTGTCCTCTGCAGCATTAGAGGCAGAGTTGGAGCTGGGAGCGAAGTTTCAGACCCGAGGGGGAAGGCATTTGGAAGGAGAAATGTAGCAGGTGTAAGGGCTTCAGAGCTGCAGGGGCTGAGTCCCCTGTGTCATGGATGTTGTTTCTTCACTGATACCCCTGCAGAGTGCACGATGCATTCTTCAACCAGAGCAGGAGTGTTTCACACCAGTTGGCACCAGGGTAAGTTGGCACAAGTGCAAGGCAAGGAGAGTGTGCTTGTGCATTGGATGGCTGGGGCTTTTTGGGCGGTGTCTCCTCTCACACCACTGTGGTCCTCTGATTACTCCTGATTCACACCAGTTTGAAATACGACTCAGGTGCTATAGAGCCCTTGCTGGAGGCACAGGCACTTGCTGATGCTGGTTCTTCCCATCCTTGTTTCAGGGACACACTAAGGATGGGGGAGATCTGGGTACCGAGACTAGGAGGGTGCTGACCAAGGCATACTATTGATCAGCTGCCGTCTCATGTCCTGTGTTGTGACCTCCCTTTCTCCAGCTCTACACAATGACAAGACAGGTGTTAATTCTCGTGCTTAGGGCTTATTGTTGTGTTTCGATACCACCCAGCCGCTACCAGAAACCCATTACGCTAAGCACTGTGCACATATGCACAGTGAGAGACTGTCCCAGCCTCAAAGAGGAAGGGCGGACAGGGCACAGAGAGAAGGGTCTTGCCCAGGTCACGCTGTAGGTCCAAGGCAGATGCGTACCACTGAATATCCAAGGCATATTTGACTTGACTGTGTTCTCCAAGAGCTACAGTGACCAGTCAAGGTGGGGAGGCAGCTTATTGTAAGGGAAAACGAGCAGAGGACTCCAGCAAGGTAAAGAAGGGTTTAATGAGCGGTTTAGATTCAAGTGTGCGTTCTTGTTCTTCAAAGACTATCGCCCTGATCCTGCACGCAGACATGTTACTCGTGGGAGTAATTCCCAGTGGCATCGCTGGGACTGCTTACATGAGTCAAACTAGGCACATGCATAATGAGCTGCAGGATTGGAGCTTAAGACTCCCAAAATATTCTGTCTCAGTGGAGCATCAAAGGGACTGTCTTGGGGAGAAGGCGATGTGTTTAGCCTTTGTTTCGAGTTTTGCAGAACCTGTTCCTGTGATCTTCTTTTCCATTTCAACAGCAAGAACAAATCTCTGTTAAAGTCTTAACTTTTCCTGCAGTGCTTGCAACCCAGACTCTGCGCCAGGAAGTGAAGCCGACTAGGGAAAAAAGGAGAAACCGATCAGTCTTTTTCCATTGTCCAAGATGAATCGTGTGAAAACAAGAATAAACGGTGCAAAAGGCAAAAAAATCATTTAGATTTGGTAACGGCTGATTCAGAAGCAATTCTCGCGGGTGGGAGGGAGGGAGGGAGCGTGCGTGAGGTATCCACTCTTTTGCTGGCTCCCTAGCTGTTATATTTTAAACTGATCGTGTTCCCCTGACAGCAAAGGATGAAATTGGCCCCATGCAGAGGGACCCCCCCGCAAAGCTGAGACACCCTTAAACCCCCAAACCCAGTCACATGTGATACATGGGGTTAATGTAAAGGGGTCACTATCACCCTAAGAGTCTGAGCCTGGCAGCACATCGCTAGAGAGCATGTTTATGGCCCCATCCCATCATTGCAGACTTATGGTAGAGATCACCATGAGCCTGATGCCCTGAAGTTAATGGCAAGACTGGCTGATATCGGCAAGCTTTGGGTCAGGCCGTACACCAGTTCATTGCTCTCGACAGCACCAGGTCCTAAATCATTAGGCAGAAATAATTAGGAATAGTGTGCTTAGGTCTAGAGACTGCAGCAGGGCAATGGGTGACCCGCAGGGGTCACGGATACCTAGGTGGGCAGAACGCAACTCAGTCTTCCCGGCAGGCAGGCAACACATAGCATAAGGAGCCCAGGAGAGAAGCAACCCCACTTTCCCAAGCACAGAAGCCTGTGAAAAACTGTACTGCCAGAAACAGTTGGGCTGAATCTGGGAGTTTTCAGAGGCACTTGGGAATCCAGGCCGCCTCGGCTTTCCAAGATAATTAGAAGCCATGTATCATTTGCAATGCGATTGTGCCTACAAGCCCTAATAGTC